ATTGAAATTATTCTAAAAAAAGACGTTGCGGGCTGGGGCACTTCTCTCTTAAGGACTGAAAGGAAGGCGCACATAATGCCTCCTGGGCACAGCAGCATAAAGAACTGTCCTGTTTGTCCTCACCTGGGATTTTAGAGCAAGCATCCAGCAGCCCCCTTACAGCTCCATCTGTCTCCATCAACAATAGGTTTTCAAAAGATGTTTTCTCCTTATAATTTTCTTCTTCTCTCTCTTTATTCATTTCTTTTTCTTTCTCTCTTTGTTTTTAAAGAAACTCATAAGTGAATTTGTATCCATTTGTCCTTGGAATATGTGTTGCAAGCTCTGGGTCCCTCAAGTTCCAATGCTGTGATGGATGTCTTGGATTTGAAGAGTTCTGGGAAGAATTGCTGAGGGTTGGGTTGTTTTGTTGGTTTTCCTGAGCTGTATAATTTTATTCTCAAAGCAGTAAGAAAACCCTAACCTCACCACACCTACCCTTGCAAGCCAAGTTCTAAGTTGTTCTCTAAGAAATTAGTCAAGTCCCTCTAAGGACAGTAAGAAAATTCCTCCCTCTGCAAATTTTAACTTTCTGGGTTTCATTGAAAAAAAAAATCTTTTGCATAAATAACTTCTGACTTCTTTGCCCTAAACTTTGGATAGATTTTGATCTTGTACTAGCCAATTCATATGAGATGTGTAATATCAGCAGTAATTAAGAATCCTTTATACTCTCTCAACATGACCCAAACTTACTTTTTCAGCTTCATGGAGAACTCACTGACTTCTTCAACTCACTCTTGAAACCTACCAGTTTCACAGCTGGTGACACAGCTTCTTCTAGAAAGGCGGGCCTGGACATCTTGTGTCAGGTGACTGCTATGCAGAGCCAAAGCATCTGATATGTGCCAAACCTAAGGAGGCTGTGAGTGGCCTGAACTGAGAATGAGGCCCAGTTAGGAAGCTTCAGATTAGATGGCAAATATCCAGCCAGATCATCTTGAATAAAAGATACAGAGCACACAACCACAGACACAAGGGCAGAAAGTGGAAAACTGGAAAGAGAGAGAGGTATAAACAGAAGAGCCCTGAGCAGGGAAGGATGGCTAGGTAAAGAACAAGGGTTTCTCCTCTTTGGAGGAGACCAGATTCCGGTTACTGGAGTTGCTATGGTTTCCTGCATCATTTTCCAATTCTCCGTGAGTTCTGAATGTGTAGCTGCAGAGGTGGTTTTCTTTGCTAACTCACTGAACACATGTGCATCTCTATCAAAAACCCCAATCTCTTGAGTCAACCTCAAGTGTGTCACTGACTTTTGGTTTTGTTTGCTTTTGCAAAACTGAAAAGAGTCCAACACCCTTGTCTAAAAATGCATTTTATAATCTCTCCTGAATCTCCTCTTGCTATCATCATTCCTGTTCTTTGATTTCTCCCAATACCTTACTAGACTCTGTCAATCCATTTGCCCGGTCCTATCAGTTCTTTCTCCACAATACAGTTCCAGAATGTCAGGGTTGGTAAATATTCCCCCCCTGCAGCACGCCTCTCCCACCCCTCACTCTTAGCACACCTCCGTAATTGATCACTGCATTCTCTCCCACTTACCTAAGCAAGGCTAAAAGCAATAACAGCTCTAGACTTTGAATGCTTATTATATATATCAGAGATTGTGCTAAGCATTTTGCATGCCTCATCTCATTTAATGCTCATAAAAACTCTGTGAAATGTATATTTTTGGTTTTTCCGTTGTACAGGTGAGAAAACTGAGGCTCAGAGAGCTGGGAGCCTGGCTCCTCCCTTCCTCCAGTCCTTCCGTCTCTCTCTGTGGCCTCCCACTGACAGAACCTAGCTGGAGCCAGTTGGCAGGGCAGCAGGGAGACATAGTTTGCAGGCGTCTGCTCCTTGTGGTGCAGAGCAAAGCAGAAGGGCAGGGATTGGATCTGAGACCAAAGAGAAGGACTGGCAAGAAGCCTCTTCTGAGTTTGTAGCCAAAAGGAATCTGCCCTGACTCTGAAAGCCCATAGCACTTGATCCACAAATTTCCTCTGCACTTAACAGCGTTTATCATATAGTTATATATTTGCACTTGTACGTAATATATATTTGCATGTCTTTTCTCCTTTGGACTATAGGTTCCGTAGATCTACCGGGTAAGACACAAGTGAATCACTTTCGGTCCTGTCCTAATGCCTAGCCCCATGCTTTGCTCAAAAAATATTTATTGAATGATGAATGATACATATGAGCGTCTGTGCTTCTTCAGACTGAGGTGTGTAGCCGTGTGTTGGGGAGGATGCCAAGCCACAAGACAAACACTTTACATTTCCCTGGAGAGCCAATTCACAGTGTGGTAAGCGATTTTCATATAATTTTCATATGAAAACAAAAAAATTAAGTCAAACATAAAACTTACATGTTTTTCTTTTAGATAAAATAATAACTTCCAAAAGTGCTAGGCTCTTCATCCCTTCATTTTTTCCTTTCATTCTTTTCTTTCAACAAGTGTTGACTGAGCATTTTCTATATGCCAGGCACTGTTCTAGACAGACAGGATTCCTGCCTTCATGGATCTGACAGTCCAGTGCAGGCATCCACAAATAAAGGACCAGAGAGCAAATATTTTAGGCCATGTGGGCCAAACATTCCTTGTTGCATTACTCAGGTCTGCCATTGTACTATAATAGCAGGCACAGACAATACCTAAACAAACGAGTACCAGTGTGTTCCAGTAAAACTGCATTACAAAACAGGCATGGCTGTTGGGGAAAACAGACACTAAATAATTTAGGTTGATACATTGTTAGAAAATAATATAATACAAGATGTACACCTGGGGCTGTCCAAAGCCCAGTGGGGCTCCAAGGGGCAGCCCTGCTCAGGTCCTAGGCACAGATTGGTTGATGGCAGCAGCCCACGGCAGATTTTTTCTCCTTCACTATGCCTATCTCCCTTTCTTCTTGGCCTTTCTCTCTCTTTGCCTCTTTCTTGCTACCCTTCTCCTTCCTTGCCTGTCTCCTCTCTTAACCATATGGTCTTTCATATATGTTGAATGTGTGTTGATACTCCTTGCTATTAAAACTAAGGTCAATTTATGCCCCAAATAGTGCTGCCAGATTTAACAAATAAAAACACAGGTCAATTTGAATTTCAGATAAATAGCAAATAATATATGAGATACATTTATACTCTCCAAAAGTATTTGTTGGTTTCCTGAAATTTAAATTTACCTGGGCATCTGATATTGTATTTGGCAGCCCTACCCCAACTAACTGTAGCTCAGTGTGGGCCTCAAATATTTGTCCTGTCGGTCAGCAGCTTTTGGAAATAAAAAGATGTCCCGTACCTACTCTATGATAAACTTCGTAACTCTATTATTATTTCTATTTTTGTTATTTTTAATATGTTTTTTATTGATTTTAGAGAGAGAGAGGAAGGGAGAGAGAGAGATAAAAACATCGATCGGCTGCCTCCTGCTCATGCCCCCCACCAGGGATTGAGCCCGAACCCAGGCAGGTGTCCCCATAGGAAATGAAATGGTGACCTCTTGGGTGCATGGAATGATGCTCAATCCACTGAGCCACACTGCCTATCATTATTTTTAAAAGGTGAGTAACCAATATTCCTTGAACACAGAAAGCAGAGTTTTGGTCTCTCGCTTTTATAGGACACCTACATCGTCAAGGAGCTTTTCCTTGAAGGCAGCTGGTCTTCTTCCAGCATCCCCAGCCCAGCCACCACTGGTCTACCCCGGAGGTGGGAGAGGGCGGTGGTTCAGAGAGCAGAGGGCCCCAAGGTGGTCAAACTTCCACAGGTATGTTAGCCTCTGCGAGGGAAATGGCTACCTCTGCATGGGGTGGAGGAAGGAGGGTGAATCACAAGACATTTCTTTCAATTTCACATTTTTGCCTCTTATTTTTGCTACATCATCAGAGCGATTGGGGGATAGTGTGGGTGGGAGCAGAAAATACTCCCCTTTCAATGCTCCTCTGGCTCTCTTTGGGAATGAGGCTTACAAGACGAGTGACAGCCAGTGACCTCAGATGATTTTGAGGTGGGTTGCTACTGACAGTTCATTCCTGGCCTCCCAGCCCTATGGCCGTCCTGTCTGCTGGTGTCTGAATAAACACAGCCAGCAGGTGAAGGTCACAGAGTTGCACAAAGTCCGCAGGGCCTACAGCCTTCTGAAAGGTATGACCATCTCCCCTCCGCACTGAGAACATTATTAAATGACTCCATTAGCTGCTGAGATCCAAAGCCCAGAGAACTCAGCTCCCCTTCCTCAAGGTGCTGACAGGGCCTGCAGCCAGGCCTTGCCGTTCCTCAGTGGCGCGGTCCAGGCCAGGCTTTCTGCTTTCCCTACTGGAGGCCTGCCATCCTTATTGAGTGTATTTCCAAGAAAGCAGTTGACAGGCTTGGCAGTGCTATTCCTGGAAATGTTCAATAGGCCATCTTCTGGCAGGGCTGCCACTGACTGATGGGTCGGAAGGGGAGACCACGTGCTCGGTGCCCTGCCCGCCCAGGCCTATTCCCAGGTGCCTCTGAGCCTCAGCCGTCAGGAATACCGCAGGCCGTCAGCTGGCGGGGGCCGCGGGCCTCTGTGGAGCTCTCTTCCTCCCTGGCAGGGAGGCTGCCAGCCGCTTGCTGCTAACTGAAGACAGGCGTCCTGTGACTAAAAACTTTAAAACACAGCTGTGGCCGATGCACTGCATGTCCCGCGGTAAACTCTGCAGGGGACGCTTGGCCACTGCTGAAGGGCATTCTAGACAGCAGCTTTAACTCTTGTGGCTGCCAGGGGAGAGGGGCCAAAACTGTCACTGGGCAGAGGAGCTCGAGGCAGCTCTCAGAGGTTGGAATTTCCCAGTGATGCGGAGCACAGTGTGGACCAGGGCCTCTCACTCAGCACTGCTGACATTTAGGGCCGGTGGCTCTCTGTTGGGAGCTGTACTCTGGGATGTTTAGCAGCATGATTAGCCTCCACCCACTAGGTGCCAATAGCTCCCCCTCCAGTGTCCCCTTCCCCAATTGTGACAACCAAAAACACCTCCAGACACTGCCAGATGTCTCCTGGAAGGCAACGTCGCCCTTAGTTGAGAACCATTGTTGTACAGGAAAGAAGATGGGACCTTCCGTGGGGGATGCCAGGGAAAGACAAAAGCTCAGAACTTGGTCTCCAGTTGAGCTGTGTGATGCCAGGCAAGTCGCAGAATCCTTGGACCTCAGGTTCCTTATCTCTGAAACAGAAGACAGAGAAGGGCAGATGAAGGGCACTTGAAGGTCAGTTGAGGTAATGCATGGTTTGCTCTCCAAGAGGTATTAAAGAGCCACATTTAACAACGTAGAAGATTACCTAATGCTTCAATCCTTCCCTACCTCAAAGGGCCTGGCTCCCTTTGAAAGGAGAAAACAGCTGAATATTTACAAAATTCCCAAGGCTCTTAAATTAAAACGAACAAATGCTTTAGAAAGCTTTTCTTTTTATTTGTTTTTCTTCTGAATTCAAATAAGATTATGCTGTGGCTTGTCTGAGGTTAATGAACGTGTCCTCCCTGAAAGAGGTTTTGTATTTTTTTCTTTATCAACACACAGGAAATGGCGTCCCTTCAGTAAAAAACAGAAAGTAAGGAAAGGGGAGGGTCCCTCTATTTTCTTCGCAAGTTAGTATCTTGTTCTTTATAATTTGTAACAAAAACTGATAAATTAAATGCCACAGTCCTGTAGAACGACACTGTCACTTTAAATGAGCTTTGCTGTTATATAATTCTCTGGCTCAGTTCACTCCATCGGCTTTCAAGGAACTGTAAAGAAATCTTTAAAGGCTAATATTTCTCCTGTTCACACTGGCAGGAAAAATAAAGGAAATGAGTAACCTGGGCATCTTTGAAGGTAAAAAATGAAGAACCGAGTCCTTGAGGACAAGGTTACATGTGTGCCCCGCCCCCCCTCCGTCTTGGGGTCCTTGTCAAGATCCCGGCAGCCACGGCCCTTCCTTTGCAGCTGTGCTCCTTGGAGGATCTAAGGCCATGTTTGCTTTGGGAAACAGGACACGGATTAATCAAAGAAAACAAAAACAGCTTCATTTTCCATAATGGGCTCATCGAAGACCTTTTCTAGGAAAAAGGCTGATCAGGCTGTTCCTTCTATTTCCCAAAAGGCTAACCATGGCAGGGAGGGGG